AAGAGCTAGCTAGGAATACACCTAAGCTACTAATCAAACAGTGTTGTAGTTAATATAAGTTATGTGTGATTATTTGGGTCTGGGCAGCTGGAAACGAAAGTGCAGTCTCTGCCTACAGTCAGAGCAGTGTCAGGGAAGCAAGTGACCACCTCCCCTCCTTTCTTGATTCACAAGGGCCGAGAATCTTTTCAAGTTCTTCCGTACTACTTCCTGTGCCCATCTATTGTCCCGGGTCCTCCAAAACCTCTATGGCTAATTTGGTCAGCTTGTAGATAGCTGTGCTCTCTGATTCAAAGAGAACTTTATTGGCAGTCCCACAACAGAAGAGGACTTCAGATCCCCAGGATCTGGAGTTACAGGTTGTGAACCACTAAACATGGATGCTCAGAACTGAACTTGGGCTTCTGCAAGAGCAGTGTGCACTCTTAACCACTGAGTTATCGTTTTAGCCCTGAATCTGAAAATTAAAAATAGAAGAGGTGAGTGGACAAGGCACACAGAGCAATAGATAGGTTAGAAAACAAAACATTAGAAATCTAGTCTTGGGAAATGCTGTCATGGGTAGTGATTGAAAGTCCAAAGCTTGCTCCTCATGAGCAGGACCAGTGAGGAACAAAAGAAAACATGGCTGAATGGGAGACAATCAGGGAACACAGAGAGTGAGTACCAAATGGATCATCTACTGAAAGTTTGTTAATGCTTGATGAGAGGGAAGTGGGAGGTTTGGATGAGTATATCCTTGACACAGGCTACCATCTTCCCAAGACAGAAATGCTTCATTCTGTTAAGAACCCCACACATCTATCCCTGTCTTACTTGAACATGTCCTTTATGGCTATGCTTCTCATGAAGCCTCATGAGATATGGACCTATGAAATGCAATCTGGCCCAACATAAAACGTTAGTCATATCAGACACCATCTAAAACTAGATAAATGGAGTAGCTAGAGTCAAAGGCTTAAGAGAGTAAAATTTAAAGTGGAGGAAAGTCTATCCATTAAATTAATGCTTTCCAAATACTAGGAAAAGGCACCTACCTACCCTATATTGCTTGTTTGTTGCTTGAGAAAATTATAACACTGAACCACCCAGCATGGATTTCTAGAGCCATGAGAATAAGGAGTTTGGTCAGAGGTGGGTGGGAGATCCTAACCTAGGAAAGGAGAGGACAAGGCGGACTCACAAAGAGGACATGACCATAAAAGAAAACAGAAACAACAGCTTGGACCATTTGCATTTCTATATAGATCAAGTGCGAACTTTCAAAAATCTGCCCACATCTTTTTATTTGCTGGCTTGTTACCTAGCTTCTTTCTTCCAATTAACTGACAATTTCAACATCTCCCAAAGTGGAAGCTAAGTAAATGCTTGAGAAACAGTAAAGTAATAAAGAGCCAGAAAGACACAGCCTCCTCCCAGGGCCAATCAGTGGATGCTGCAAAATGATACCAGGGGACTAATGCCAATCATCCCCAACCAATTTCTATTCTCCTTGGTCCACTCAAATGGCTTATCTGAGTTCAACACCCTGTAACACAAAGCAATTAAAAGAAAAAAAGATGCCTTTTTATTGCACTTGTGTGTGAACAGAAGGAAGAGATAGAAAAGGCATTCATCTCTAGCTTCCATTTTCTCTTCTAGGCCCAGATCAGGCTTGTAACAGACCCGAGGGAAGAGATTGTAGGAAGTCAGAGAAGAAGCGTGAAATACACAGCCCTTGCTCTGCACCAAAATGAGTCCAGCCATCTGAGGATAAACAGCACCTGAGGCTTTTTGTCAAGTCCCTTCCATAAACTTCAGGTACCATTTACCTCTGAAGATGCTCGATAAACCAAAACGTGCCTGTGCTGGGTGATAGGGGCGATAAGAACTGTTTGGAGCTCAAGTGCCCACAGTAGTTGCTTTTCGTGTCACTGTGATGGCACAGCTGACATAACCTGAGGAAGGGAGGGTTTCTATTGGCTCACTGTTTCAGAAATGTCCGTTCTCGGGGTGGGGAAACCAGCCCAGAGCCACAGCCCACCATACAGTGTCCAGGAGGCACAAAAAGTGGGACACAGCAAAGGGATAGGGTAAGACATAGACAACACCCCCAAACTCACAATAAAACCCTCTTCCCTGTGATCTGTCTCCTGCAACAAGGCCCTACCACCACCCACCTTTCATAGCTTCCCCATAAGATCGTATTGTGAATCCATCAAGGCCATAAGGCGTTCATTAGGTCAGAGCACTGAAGCTCTAATCAGTTCTGTGCTTGACTAATCTTCCAGGCATTTCTCAGGGCAACTAAGTTGGCCATCGCATGTCCAGGCACCCTTATTCAAACAGTAGACAGTGGGAAAGCCTTCATGCCTGTCTTTTTCCAAGGGAAATCCCTAGAGGAAAGAACCCCCTGTGTAGAGTAATCAAGGTAAGACTTCTGCCTTGTTCCCCTCACTCCCAAATCAGGATAATAACAAAACAGGAGAGGCCTAAAATTCATTCTCTCCTCCGAGAAAGAAAACCTCAAGCTGAATGCTGGATCCTGAGACTCTTCGAGAAAAAAGGCAAGAGAGTCTGGAAGGGCTCTTCCTCAACGGTGAGTTCACAGTAAAAGGGATGATCTTTTGTGGAGTTTACGACTGAGACTTGAGAAAGTACTGGGTGGAAGCTTTGGAAAGAATGCCTTCCTCAAACCTCATGTGAAAAAAAAGAAAAGGAAAGAAGAAACACTATTTGATGATTTGTGTTTTCGACATCATCTTTAGCAGGAGCCAAGGACAGTGCGTGTTTAAAAGTGATGGGAGGGGCAGAATCTAGACCGACCTAATAGATAATACGTAGTATAAATAGGGAAGAGGTTTTTGATCATTACTATTGATGGTAAACTTGACAGGCTCTAGAGTCACCTGGGATAAAAGCCTTTGGTACATCTATGAGGGGTTGTTTAGATTAGGTCTAAGCTTGCCTGAGTAATTATATTGATTATTAATGAAAATGAGGAGATCCACCCTAACAGTAGGCAGAACCATTCCCTAGGCTTGGGTCCTGGGTGCATAAAAAGGAGAATACTGGCTGAGTGCCAGCATTCCTCATTCTCTGCTTCCTGGTGGCAGATACAAGCTGACCAGCTGCCCCAAGCTGCTGCCACCTTGCCTTCCTCACCTCATGGTGGACTGTATCCCCAAACTGTGAGCTAAAAGAAGCCGTTGCCTCTTTAAGCTGCTTTTTCAGGATATTTTGTCATAGAAACATGAGAAATAACTGAGACCTGTTGGTTCACCCTGTCCATCGGAGCTCAATGTTGGCACTGCCAAAGGGGTGAAGAGGGTCCCTAATGTCTTTGCAACTTCACATCTGGGTTCCTGGTTCCATGGCCTGAGTTTTAGCTCAGAGTTGCTCATCCACAATGTTTCCAGTGTCTCAGGACCGGCATCATGAGAAACAGGGTTGTTTGTCCATACTGTGAGAACATTACAGTCCTTTCCCGGCTGCATGGGCTTGTCAGTATCGGCCTCGTTTTCTCCTTAGCCCACCAGGAATAAGCTTTAACATTAGTGTTAGGACTCAGACATGCCATGCGAGTATAAACCGGCATGGGCTTTTTGAAAGGACCTTGACAGCATGATTGAAAAAGAAAAGAGGCCGTGTGTGTGTGTGTGTGTGTGTGTGTGTGTGTGTGTGTGTGTGCATGTGTATGTGTGTGTGTCTGTATCCAGCATGAACTGAATTACAGATTCATTCTGACCAGGCCTCCATAGTGGTATCATTCAGAACTGGTCAGGCCGAGCAGTGGTGGGTGCACACTTTTAACCTCAGCACTCAGGAGGCAGAGGCAGGTGGATCTCTGTGAGTTTGGGGCCAGCCTGGTCTACAAGAGCTAGTTCCAGGACAGGCTCCAAAGCTACAGAGAAACCCTGTCTCAAAAAATCCAAAGAGGAAAAAAAAAAGAAGCAGGGGAAGAGGAAAAAGAGAAGGAGGAGGAGGAGAAGAACTAGTCAGTAGGATAGATCAAATACATTGTAACACATTCACAAAATAGGATGGTAGGCAACCACTAAAAATAATGTTATTGAGAAATAATAACTGTATTCTCTTAGAAATTGGATCACAAAATTTTAAACATGATAAAGCCATAAAACACTGTTTGCATATATGCTATATTTATGAAATCTACATATGTGATTAATACTCAGGTTTTAACAGAATGGTAAGATTGTGAATGTGTCTTGCTTCTGTTTTCTACTTTATCTATATTTTCAAATTTTTCAGTACTGAAATAACACACTTGTAAATAGGAAATTTTATTCCTTAATTTTTTTAAAAAACGAAGAGTGTATTGGGACTGTAGCTTAGCAAAAGAGTGCCAGTGCAGCCTATGCAAGACTCTGAGTTTGAACCAAAAATTGCAAACCATTAACTAGTTAGTTTAAAACATTGCCAATGTGAATCTTCTCCCTTCCTCCCTCTGAAACCCATTTCATTACGCAGAAGCAACACCAGTTATCAGCTTCTTAGGGAACTCTAGCAATGATCTCTGCATGAAAAAGCCCAGGTAGAAACATTCTCCTCACCCTCCAAATCTGCTTCAAATTCAGCCTTAACCACCCTCTCAAACAGGAGGAGCCTGCTGCTGGGGAAGGAAATGTACCACTAAATACTAGTTAACTGCCTCTGTCAGAGAAGGCCAGTACAGGACAAAGTGAAGTCAAATGCCTCAGAGACAAGGATCCCAAATCATAAACCAAGAATAAAGAACATCCAAACATGCAATATTTTAAAAGTCAAAATTAGTACACACAATTATGTTTTGTGTCTGGTTTTTGGTTGTTCATTTTCCCTTGTGGCCTCAGGTACTGATATGACTCAGTATGGCACTGTTCTTATCGGAGACAAGCAAACAAGAGTTAGGAAGAACACGGGAGGGAAGGAAAGGAGGAGGGGTAGAAATGACCTGACCCAGCTAACTGTCAAGCGCTGAGCTGGCATGTTCCATATTCTTGTTAGGTGGCAGCACTTACCTGTCACCCTCATTAAGGTCCCCTGAAAAGAGGAAGACTCCCAGCGTAACAGTCCGGCCGTCTGTCCTGCCTCAGTTCTCAGGAAACTGAAGTGAGTTGCCGAATTTGAACTAAGAGAAGTAAGCATGGATAGAATCACCCTTCTGACCTGGGTCTCATAGGTTCTTTGTCCTTGGGGCCTTTCTCTGTTGTCAAAATTCCCTGCACAAATTAGAAAGAGTACTACAACACACAAGGTATATGTTCATACTATACATATGCAACAGGAACGTACGCATCTACACAAGATACACAGGTGCACATATCACACATGCAGACCTATCTGCATAGGCACATATAAGCATAAGGACACCTATATACACTTACACGGGTATGCATGTGCAGATTCTGTGTGCAGAGACGCATGTGAACACACATTCACAGATGTATCTGTTAACGTGCATAAATGTGCATGCTTGTACACACACAGAAATCCATACACACTCACGCACACACACTCACACATACAGAGCCACACATTTTCCCACCATCTGCAGAGGCTCCTCTAGCTCAGCCAGAGATTACAGGAGATAAAACCAACAGAATTTAAATGAAGATGAGAAAAAGAAAGTCCAGGGATGATGGGCAGACGTCTCTAATTGGGACTATTTTTAGAATCCAGACAGAAAATGGAGAGAGGGAGGGAGGGAGGGAGAGAGAGAGAGAGAGAGAGAGAGAGAGAGAGAGAGAGAGAGAGAGAGAGAGAGAGAGAGAGAACCCCTTGTTTCCACCATTGCCGGGAGTGGAAGGGGAAGAGGTGGGAAATGGAGACTGGGGTGTTGGGAACAGAAAGGCCACAGAGCTACATGAGGAGGTGACAGCTTTTTGCCTGTCCCCTCAATCTTCCTCCTCGTTTACACACTCATACCCGAACCCTCACTACACACACACACACACACACACACACACACACACACACACCTGTCTCTTCTCCCCTCATAGGACCCGGATGCTAGGAGAGAGGAAGGCACTGGAGACCAGTTGGTGGATGCTAACCTGGCTCTTCACCCTCACTGAATACTTGTGAATGTGTTACCATGAATATGCTCCAGGGGCTTGTGGGGGGCAGCTTTAGATAACAAAGAACCTTCCTGCAAAGAGAGAAAGACACCCAAACCAACAGATGAATAAGAGAACCCCTCTGGACACAGTACCATAAGGTCCCCATTTACTCGATGGTATACCACTGGTCTCCACTCTCCCCCATGGGGTGCGTCTGTGCAGCCCCACTGCCCACCTGTGTGCACGCATCAGGAAGGAGCTACTCCATAGCAGTTCACCTCTGCTTGTACTTCACCTGGGTAGAGATTTATCTCCAATCCAGGAGAGCAAAAGTAAGGGAGAGCCTAGGGCTTAAAGCAAAGTGAGCCAGCCTGCCTTCTCTGACATTTTGAGGGACCAGCAATGACCAGTGAATATTGAAATCTTCAAATAAGAAATGGAGAATTTAGGCTCCATTATAAGTAGCTAAGTTCTTTTTTCTTTTCTTTTTTTAGTTTTATTTAAATAACACTTTTTCATCTATTTTACATATCAACCATAATTTCCCCTCTCTCCCCTCTCCCCAGTCCCCCACACAGATCCCATTTATCCCTTCCCCTTCTGCTCCTCCTCTCTTTCCACTCAGAAGAAAGCAGGTCTCCCAGAGGCTTGAGTAAAACATATCAAGTTCAGGCAGAACTGAGCCCTTCCCCTTGTATCAAGGCTAATCCAGCATGGAGAACAGGTTCCCAAAAGCCAGCTAAGCCACAGGGACAGGTCCTAATCTCTCTGCTAGGAGTCCTACACAGAGACCAAGCATAAGTAGCTAAATTCTAAGTGACATATTTACCACTGTCACCACTATCACCACCATCACCATAATCACCATTACCATCATCACCATCATCACCACCATCACCCTAAGTATCATCACCACCATGACCATCATCACCACTATCACCAACATAACCAACATCACCATGTCATCATCACCATCACCACCATCACCACCATCACCATTCCCATCATCACCACCATCACCCTCAGTATCATCACCACCATCAAGATCATCACCACCATCACCACCATCACCATCACCACCATCACCAATATCACCACCATCACCATCACCACCATCATCACCACTATCATCACCATCACCACCATCACCATTACATCATCACCACCATCACCATTACATCATCACCACCATCACCATTACATCATCACCAACACTGAAGCTGCCGACTACCCATTCGTTGCAGAGAGAAGGCCTGTGGCTCCAGGGCCCTGTCCCTATAGACTCTTAGTTGCCTTGGGCTAACTTTATTCTCCCACCCCATTAGTTACTTTTCTCATTTCCCAGGAAAAAAAGAAAGCAAGTGAAGGAAGGGTTTATCTGGGCATGTGGCTTGAGCCGTGGCTCTGCTGCGGTGGGGCAGGGCCGGTGGCAGGACTGTGAGGTGGCTGATCACACTGCTTCTGCAGTCAGGAAGCTGAGAGGAATGGTGGCCGGCACACTGGCCTTCCCCTACCCCGGGTCCTAGTCCACAGCATGGTGCCGGCCACGCTCAGAGAGAACCTTTTCTCCTCAGCTAAAACTCTCTGGAAACGCCCTCAAAGCCCCACCCAGAGGTTCGTCTCCTCGAGATTCCAAGTCCTGGCAAGCTCACAATCAAGATGAACTACCGTATGCTGTCTCTTCACCAAAAGAATCTGGTAAAGTGGGATTTCATCATCATCAAAGAAACTGTAGAATAAAAAACAGAGGAATAAAGATATTAAAAAATGTTTTTTTTTCTGGTTTCTTCTTGTTGTCAACAAATATGCTGTTCTCAGTGACCTGTGCTTTGTTCTAGACATTCGCTGGAGTCCCAGCTCTCAGCTCTGGTGCTTGATTTCATTTTCTTCCTTTGCAAATGAGGCAGAAAAAAGAAAGCTTATAAGTGACCAGAAAGACTGCAGGTTAGACTTAAGGAAGAACTTCCTGACATCGGATCTGTTGAGAAAATGAGAAAATGAACTTTATTCTTAAGGAAAAAGACAAGGGTCTTTGGAGACAGAAATGAGACTCCCCCATCTGTCTAGGAGAGGAGCAATTTAGAAGTATGTTTGCATTGACTCCTGGGACACTCTGAGTCATGGAGATAAGAGCTGTACTTACAAACCCCTTCTAGGCTCCTCTGCAGGCCCCAGAGGTTAATGTTTCCATTTAAATGGAAATTGAGTGCAAAATTATTAGCAACTGTTCGAAAAGAACCAAAGTACCAGGGGCCGATCTTCTCACAATACAAACATGGCCACCAACCAATGTTCTGTGCCTCAAGTATTAAGGTGAACCTTGCTGAAGGTCACTCTTTCACCTGCCAAGAAGCTGGACCTATGGAAATGTTTCATTTGGAACCCAACCCGGGGGGTGCAGAGAACTGTCTGAAGGCCTTACAGCCTGAGCAGTTCCAAGACAATCAGATGCCGATCCCGGGAGAACAAGGTGGCATTGCTCCTCTCCTCCCCAGACAGACCCTGACACAGAAAACCCTGCTTCATTCCTTGTCAGCTTCAAATCTGATAATCACTGGAGTTGGCGTTCAGGGCATGCGCAGAGCAGTGCATGTTCCTTAGGGAGCCATGCATATTTCCTGCTGAGAGAGAACCAGAAGGTGACGCTCAACTTTCAGGCTTCAGTCCTCCTTCTGCAAACCTGGTCTTATTTGTGGTCTATTTAGCGCATTTGTATTTTTGTGCCTTTGGGGAGGCTATTTTTTTCTGTTTAAAATGGGCCCCAAGTGTAGGGCTGAAGGAATCTTTTCTATTCCCAAGGCTGAGATGAGCTTGCAGAGAAACAGTGTGTTGCCCACGCTCCGTGTCATGCCTCTGGCTGTAAGTCTAATGCGGATGAATCAGCAGCATATACTAAATGAGATAGTGCTATGGTTCGGATCTTAAATGTCCCCTGAAGACCACTGTGGTAAAGGATTGGTCCCAGCCGGCAACACTACTAAGAGGTGGTAGAACCTCTAAGTTCTCGGACCTGATAAGAGGAAGTTAGGTCACTGGGGAGCACCCTCGAGAAGACAGTACTGGGACCCTCGCCCTTCCTCTCTCTTTCACATCTCCATCGTGATGTACTAAGCTCCAAAAGAGCAAACAACCGTGGACCGAAGGAAAATCTCTGACCCTGTGAGTCAAATCGACGTCTCAGTATTGTGTCACAGAGATGGGAATCTGACAAACCTCCTCAAAGCACACATAACGTGAAGACATGTGTTGATCGGCTTACACCACAAGTCATGGGGCCAGTGGCTCATGGGACCTAATTTGAATTTTCGCTAGCCGTCATCACCAAGCGCTAATTCATCAGGATTCAACCAACAGAAACACTGACTTCACAGAATTGTCACTAGGCTCAAATTGGAGGTGGTATCCTTAGTAAATGGTGAACCCCCGCCCCCCGCCACCGCCAGGCTTATAGACTCTCCTACCCATGAAAATGCCTTGCTCCAACAGTCCAGTTTTTCTGCATATCCCTGAAGGACCAACAAGGGATTATATCTAGAAGACTCCATAATTCATAGCCAGGGTAGAATACCTGACAATAACTGAATCATTTCTAAGCAAAAAGATTTGTCATTGTATAAAACTGCTCAAGAAATCCAGGAGGACTTAGCACCAACCAAAAGTAAAGATCCAGGATCTAGAAAAACCCACTTCAAGTCTAGGAGAAAGAAACCTTGACAGGTGAACCACCAATGCTGGGCTTGCCTGTAAGAACCCTGCAGGGATGTCACAGGAGAAAGAAAGCCACCAGAAGTGGACAGAAAAGAGGCTGTCTACTTCCCATCTAAAGGTTATGTAACAAAATGACCATAGAAAGATCAGCTAAGCTTCAGGAGCACCAAGGAAGAAGGAAGAGAAAAGTATGCCCTCCCTCAGCCTCCCTGAGTGTCTTAGCATCTTCTGTTGCTATGGTAAAATACTCTGACAGACACAACTTAATGGAGAAAGGGCTCATTCTGGCTCACAATTTAAGGTGCAGCACATCAGAGCAGGAGAGATTGATGGAGGAAGGTCATTGGTTAATTATAATAAACCAACTGCTTGGCCTCATAGCTTAGAACATAGATGGGAGGAGTAAACAGAATAGAATTCTGGGCGGTAGAGGAAGTGAGGTCAGACTCTGCTCTGCTCCCGGAC